ATTTATTTATTTAAAACTAGACCATTCCATCCTCTACAGTAGAGCCTTGCAACTGTACATTCAGCTTGCACCATATTTGCCCTCAGATGTTCTTAAAATCCACTGGAACAAAGAAGTAGGTCTTTCTTTGAAAATCCTTGCTGGGGTTCATTAAACCTCTTTGATGTTCCCCCCTTCCCTGGCCACATAAATGAAATCTTTATTAAAAAGAATGTCTATTGGGGCCATTTTCATAACATGATAAGGAGTGCCTGATAGATTTACTTTCCTTCTAGGCAACTTTCCAGCCAAAGTCAACAGCTAACAAGAAGTCTATATCTGAATTCATGTCGGAGGATGTAACTCACTAATTAAGTGTTCCTTAAATATTTCAAGGAACAATCAGACTTTCTGACTGATCCACTGCAAGCACTGCTCTATAAAGAGATACTACAGTTGAGTACAGCTGAATAAATTGAGGTTTCTTTTCTTTCTCAGGCATTCTCAGTCTAAGTTCCAGCATCCTAGTCCATGGTACACAACCTTCCTTGATACAGCAGTAACTCATCCCACAGTAACTGCCATCATTTTAAGGTTCACTTAGATGCATTTCTACAAGCTGTGCCTTGGCAGTCCTTCATTTTATTCACACATAAATAGAAATGTTTAATTACCTATACCCTCTGTTACTCTGATAAAACATAACTTTTTATGAAATAGCCTTGAAGCCACACAGGATGCTGCTCTGTGATGAAACAATACAGAATAAGGTACAAAAGCAGTGCTGTCCTCATGCTCCTCATCACTTGTCCACAATCCCCTGGATTTAATCCTGTCCAGAAAGCTTCACATTCATTCCCCAAGCACAGAGATGTCACTAAGAGATGCTCATGGAAGCACTGCAGAGACTCAGCACACGGGAACTCGCTGCTACTTAATATACCTGTACCAAAAGGTTTTATTTATTCTGTGTTGCAACAGCTACAGTCACACAATTTCTAACTGACAATGTGTGAACACTCATCGACCTGCAAAGGCCACAAATACTCTTTAATCAAGATTATCAAACCACAGAAGGGCTGCAGTAGCAGTGCCATGCCAAAGCAGAGGAGATCTAATCAAAGCACCAGATAACCAGGCTCTTCTGTACAACCCTCCCAGTAATCTCCCTCATGAGCACTGAAAGTTCCTGCAGCCCCAAATCCAAGCAATAAAGTTTCTAGGTCTCTCCTGCCCTGGACAACCATGTCAATGTAACAGACCCAGATGGTTTATACACTTTAACACTCTCAATTCACTGACATTTCTGTTAGGGCAGCCCTACCCAAACCCAAGCATTATATAAAAGGGTTCAGCATGATTAAGCCCATTATAATACAACCACAAGATGATTAAAATAACCTTCTACAGGTGCCAGATATCTGCCATCATGTTTGGATAAAATCAGGAATATCTTACTCCTTGCTGAGCTTCTAATGCTGCCTCCTCAGAATATGTCAAAACTGATAACCATGGCAGACACTAACACTTGATATCTTTATTTTCCCAGGAGCATCAAAACCTACGAACTGCAGTTCTGGTTGTCTCCCTCTCCTGAACTGCCCTTCGCATCCGTTCATCCCCCACAGTCCTCCTCACCTCCCCCAACATGTTGACACAGGGGAGTTTTAAAAGGAAATCAGAATAAAGTACATTGCACAGAAGGGAGATTTATTTTAGCATAGGCACATTAAGAAGGAACACTGAGAAAACTACTTGAATGCGAGAATGAAAAGTTATCTCAGCTTTTATCCAAGTTGAGGTATTTACTTCGTCAGATTTCAAGTCAAGTAATTTTTTTAAAATGCAGATAGTTAAGGTACCACAGTGCCTGTGCAGAACAAAAATTGCAGAAACTCAGTCATTTTATGTTGATCTGTGGGTGCCCGAAAACATTACTGCAAAAAGTGGTCTATTTAGGAATATACAGCAAAATGCAACCCAGCTCTTTCAAAACTCTCCATGCAGGTATTACTCCTCTGAAAGGAAGTCAATATTTGGTGAGCACAGAGGGAGTACTAATCTGGTAAATGGCAAAATACAGCACCTTCCTGACCCTTCACCTTCACTTCTCCCACCACCAGTATATATCCAGAATATATTTTCTCAAGTGTTTATTCCCCCTCTCTTCTTGTTCAACAGGATCAACACAATGCTTACTGTATTGCCAACAAAACAACCCAGGCATCAAAGTCTGACAGAAAACAACCTGGTAAGAAATTCAGGCCATCAGAAAAATCTACTGGGGGAGGAGGGAGAGGGGGGGAAAGATTAATTGTAGATTGAACATCATATAATGAACATTGCATGAAAATAATGCTCAGTTACCAACCCCATGGAACTTAAAAAAAAAAAAAAACAAAGTAGCAAATACTAAAAATACTGTAAAAGGAGGCCAAACTACACCCTAAGCAACCTGAAGTCTCTCACAATCCTAGAAGTCTCCTCTTTATAAAGCAAAGAATATACAGGACCACTTATTTCAACCACAAAAACTTGCACTGCATGACAGTACATAATTTCAGATTCACTGCCCAAGTCCGTAAGACTGTTCCTGCCTGATTTCAAACCTGCCTTCTATAATGACCTTCATGTGAAGGTCATTATATCACTCTCCAGTTTCCCAGTTGTCTCACACAGCTCACAAATATCACCCTTCCTTCACATCCTTCTCTTCCTTTATCATCACAAAGTCCAACAACTTAATATCGATGACATCTAACCCCCGTAAGAACTAAAAAAAAAAAAAAAGAAAAGAAAAATTTTTTTAAAAATCCACAACAGTCAAAGATGGAAATGTCACTGTGGTGCGTGTTGTTTTCTTTTATTGCCATCTGTATCTCTTCATTTAAAAAAAAAAATAAAAAAATTAATCACAATGTAGAATAAAATGGTATAAAAAGTGTGACAAAAAATACACCACAAACTTAACTATTCTTGACTGCTTACAGATACAAAGCATTAAGGATGACAAGAAATAATAAATCCTCTCAGCTGGGGGGAGGAGGGAAAAGATCGTTCTCTAGACCGAATCCAGGCAGCTTCCCACTGCCAACTCCAGAATAGCTTCATCATCCATTAAAAAGATGAAATATGATTCACCTGTGATTTTTACCAGTTTCAGTAAAAAAAAGTTATTAGCTGAAAAATGGTTTCAGACTCTTTCAGGCTCTTTTTCATGAATATAAAAATTAATAGAATCTCCTAAGGTTATGGGGGAAAAAACCACTTTGGACTACACATTTATAAGAAATAAGATCACGTAGCACAGGAAAAGTAATGAGGGTTTTTTGTGGTTTTTTTCGTTGTTGGTTTGGTTTGGTTGGTTTGGTTTTTTTTCATTTGTAGAAGACAAAATGCTATTTTATCAACTACAAGAAATTCTCTCACGCTTGCAACTGGAATTGTTTGAAATAATCCCTGCCTGGTAAAATTCCAGAGACAGACACATGAAACAGGTGTATTAGAATATCAGCACATTGTATACAAACAGAAATTACTTTCAAGAAGTCAAGCAAAGATCACACATTTTACTGCCATCCATGCTCTTCAAATTAAACTGCAGAACAGTCACGAGTTTGCATTTATTTTAATTGCAGATAATAATCTGAACCACACTGAAACACCCTATGCCTATAGAAATTCACATAACAATTTACATTTCCCCTGAAATCTCTGAAAATGCAGCAGAAATAATTTACTAATCATCTACCACTTCTTCCAATAATGAGCCATTAGAATAAAACTCAGAAAAAAATAGTTCAAGTCATAAACTACTCTGAAATGCTTAATGTCAGGGAGCACAAACAACAGAAACTATTACAATAGATTTTTCATTAATTGATCCATTTCAACACTCATTTACAGCAATCTTTAAACCAACTCTCCAAGAGCATGTAAGAAGAACAGATTAATTATTTTACTGTTGTAATTTTTAAACTGCAGGGGTTACTTCTGGAGAAACCACTTAAATTCCAAAATGGCTTGGTGCAAAAATGGCACTTGCACAACTCCTGCTGGAGCAGGGGCTTCACAGGACACCACCAACCATTTTCCCAGGACCCTCCAATTGGACCATCTGCCGTAAGACACTTACTTCAGTTCATTCTTCTCCCCTTAATTTACCCTCCCTTTCTCCCTCTCCAACACCCAGGTGGAAGATGCTGCCACAGCATCTGAGAGCCCCTATGAAAAGCAAAGGGCACACAAAATGTTGTTTCTCTAATGCCACATATACCAGGTACTGATGTGTCTCCATTAGCCCTCCCTACCTGAAACAAGCATTTATCCACACTTTTAAGGAAAACAGCTGTTTAAGACCACACAATTATGTACTGTGTTAGGTGCTTTCCTGCACCTCCGTCTCAATTCACAAAGTTCAGGTTATTTCATGTGACAATCTACCAATGCCGACTATTTTTGACAGTAAGAACCTTTTCAATTTTATTCATCTGAAGTGCTGATACCTCTACATCAGCTTACAGAGAGGGCAGCTACACTAACAGGATTTGTTTCCATCTTATGTAAGAATGTTGTTTAAAATACCGAAAAGGTCTTTATAAACTATTTGATGTCTGTGGAAACAAAAACCAACCTGAGAACATTTTTCCTAGCACAGGTCAAACGCCTGCACAGCAGCTTTCAGGTGGTTCTGATGCTCTCAGTACTCACATCTATTCAAGTATCTATGCTGCATAAAAAAACCCTGAAGTAATGGATAAAGATGGTAAAAAAAAAAAATCTAAAACTTGTCAACTTAATTGAGTGCTGTTTCAACACACGGTGTGAAGATGCATTTCCACTGAGATTTCTTATAATTTGTACATATAGGTGAACATTTACATTAAGACCCAATTAGTATGTCAAAGAGTAATTGCAGGCAGATACTCCAAACTTATATTGAAAAGCATCTACTTTAAAAATTCAAACATTTACAACAATACATTAAAACAGGGGGAAAAAGAAAGGCAGCATATACAGACCTTCCAGTAGTCAGATTGTAAACTGTAGTACCTCTGGTATGCAGATAATGCTGTAGGAGAGAAAAATGAATGTTCAATTTGTTTTGTTTCATTTTCTTTGAATATAGAAAACCTTAAGAGTCAGAATACACAACACTGAAATGATAAATGGTTTAATAAAAGTTACACTGCCATGATAAGTACACTGTTGTGGGCAATGCATTCCTTAAGATTATAATTTTGGTTTATGAAACGTCAACCCAAAAGTATATTTATTATTAATCTTACAAAATGTAAATCAAGCAATATTTTAAAGAAAAACCTATAACAAAGAAATCATTTGAAATTTTGGGATTCCCATCCCGGACAAAAGCTGTTGTAAGATTTAAAAATTTAATCATGTAGCTCATTTACCATGCTCCCCGATGCCCTGTAATTTCTAAAGAACTGGTGAGGAGGGACATACAAAGAGAAATCAGTTTCACATGCCCTTTAGTTCTGTAACTAGAGAAACAAAAGCAAGTGGGGGGAGAAAAAGCTTACATTTTGTTCGGCAGCGAGGACCGAGACTAACCTGGAAATGAGCACTAAGAACAGCTCTGCTCAGTACAATATTAGCTCTACTCAGCAACCAATTCCTCAAATCATTGTTCCTGCTCCCTCTTCCCCACTAAAAATTCCGGTTGATTCATCTTGCCCCGCTGGCCAACAGGTCACATCAGACCAGAACACAAACTAGCTCTGTGTTTTCCTAGGAACACGGCACTAGGAACCCTCCAAAAAGGAAGAATTTTAATTAAAGATTCCCTGTAGTAAACACCAAGGTATTGATTTTTCAAGTGTTTGCAGTATGCATCTTCCAAACAGTAAAAAAAGGCAACTCCTGCTCTGAAAAACTGTAAGCACTAAACAGATTAAAACATGTATTTTATGTGCAGATATATTTCCTGAAAGTACCATGTCCCTACATTTTAATACCTTTCAATGCCTGCCCTGAATATTCATTTCTGTAACTTAAGTCCTTGAGTTTAATTGAAATAAGAACAACATACACAGAATGATAAAGCACACAGAGTTTTCTCTTAAAAATAAACCTTTGCGCTCACCTGTCTACAGAGTCTCACAACCTTTATTTGTAAACTCATACTTGCTGAACAAAGCCCAGAAGTTGCCCCTCACCACTGAAACGCTTGTGAAGCCAATTTCTAATTTTGATGCTCTGAGCTGTGACTCATTTACATGCCCAGAGTAGAAAAATAAACTCAGGCATCTGGACATTATTAACATGCAATATGTTTAAATGTTTAGTGCAACTCAGACAAACAAAATCAGTTAAAAATCAAAGTCTTTCACAATTTAAGAATACAATTTCTCCCCCATCCCCCCCAAACAAAATTTGGTACAAACTGAAGGATGTGATTGCAGTCTAACAATGTAACTTTAAGAACATCAAAAATAAGCATATTTCAGTCACATTCGGTAATTATGTTATAAAGGGCATTCACAATAACACAAAACATCCTCCCACTCCAGAACAGTCTTTCCAGATTCAAAGTCTTCCAGGTATCATTAATAACTTTTCAACAAAAAGGAGTAATTAGCTTCTGAACATGGTAATGACTTTTCGCTCCCAAACAGGAACACACAAACAATGAAGCAGTTTTGTAATGCACCACACTTAAAAAAAAAAAAAAAAAAAGCTTTTTTTTTGTTTTTACTCAAGCAGCACCTCTCCCAATTTTAAAGGTTAAAGCACATTTCAAACACTTAGGTCAGCACCCCCATATTATGCAAAATTAGGAAACTGAGAACTTCTCAGTTATTAATCAACTATTAATTGTTTTAACAAAGTAACTACTGCAGTCAATTATAGAAGGGATATGGATAAAATGAAAGCATGAAAAGAACCTTAAATACAACGCTAAGGGTTTACACTATGAAAATAAAAGGGAGAACTTTTTCACTGTAGTTGTTAAAATATACATGGAGCACCCACATGAGCACATATAATTAAACAAGAGAGATGGAATATGTTTCCCTACAGCAGTTAAGGTACTGCTAATAAGTTCAGAAAAAGTCAACAGTATAAAAAAATACATAAATAAACAGAAGACCTTAAAAAGAACAGGAAAAAAAAGAACAGAGCAAGAAAGAAACTGCTCCCAAACAAACTTGCCCAGGCAAATTTTAGCACCTTCATTTAACATAAGGATAAGGTCTTACAGAAAGGAGGCTTTGCTCCATGATATTCTACCAATTTTCCTTAGGAGTGCTGATGTTTGCCAATGATTTTTCTCTTCCATCCTTCAATAAATTTGAGCAACTTCCCATAGGAACAGCTGAAGTGACCATTTCAAGTTACAAATAAAACCAACCACATGGAAAGCGTGGACTGCTGAAGGAGAATTCCATGTTTACATGCTAAGCAGATAAAGCCTCTATTCAAAGGGAGGTCACTTTACTCTTCCAGAGGAATTAAGAGGACACCACAGTCCCTGTCAGTGTCTGAAGTGCCCAATCCTAGTTCTGGGTCCAGCAACCCCCAGGGATCCAGGCTTTTCCTCCAGGCTAGCAGTATTCTGCTCCTACTGAACTTCTTGCAGATGAAATGCTGAAATTCTCAAGAGTTGTGCTGAAAATGCTTAAGGATGAATCATGGAGGATTCCCTTGCACCAGAGATAAATGTCCCTCTCCTCCTGATGAAAGTCAGACAAGAAACTGCTGTTGATGCACAATTTCAGTATTTAACAAGTGCTCAACTCCCAGCAAGTTACCTGTGAAACATTATTTCAGACCCCTTTACATCTGGATAAAATATCTGCTCCAAGAGCACTCAAGCTCTGCTGAAAAGGACTAAAGGAACAGAAAAATAGAATCCAAGAAAATGTTTTTGAGGGTTTTTTGCCAGAGCCCACCTGAAACATCCCTAATTAAGCACATCCCCCTAAAAATCTTGCATATAAGATGTTAGAAATCAAATTATGAAAGCAAGATTTTTGAGAAACTAAACCAATCTAGTTTAAAAGCGGAACATGGATCACAAATACGAACCCTCCCATACTTTCTAGTCCCTGAGTGAGCTTAATTCTATGGTGCAGAAATTAGTACCTTATCTAAATAATGTATTGTGGAACTACAAGTAACTTCTCTGTTTAATTAACTTTGTATCTACAGGAAAGGAGCGCAAATCCCTCAAAATGCAGACTTTATCCAGGAATAATAAGAAACAAAGAGCAACTGGATCTGCTCAAGATCAAGCAACAGGAATTTTACACAAGTTCCTATGTGAAACACGGGGTGTGCTTCACCAGTGCTGTGATTCTGACTGCAGGATGATATTCTCTGGTTCACTAAAAAGTGAAAAAAACAATCACTTGTATCATGCACCACATGAGTATTATTAAAAAAAAACAAACAAAGAAGGACAAAAAAAACTCCCTCAGCACTAAATGCTGCAATGTCATTTGCACCTTTACTTTTCATCCAAGATTGGTCATTCCAAGGGGATACAAGTTTTGTCACAAAACGATTCCATCAACTACTGCCCCTCTTTCAAAACAGGGTCAACTCTCATTTTTCCAGACACAAATGAATTACCCCACTTCTGTTAAAATGTCCTTTCAAAATATTATTAAATAAATTCTGCAGACAGCCTTCTGATTAGGAACTTATTATTGAGCTTTTCCAATCTAGAAGTTTGCCACTGAAATTCTTACACATTCGAAACTGCTGAAGGAGGTAAATATTTCTTTTTTCCACATGCGAAACACTCCTGAGCATCCAGAAAAAATGCAGGCCTGGACTCAGAAAGAACAGGACTGAGTGTAGGACAATTACATTTGTAAAATGATCACAGATAAGCCTCTTAAAAACACAAAGCTGACAGACCATATTCAAACATCTAAAACAATACTGGACAAGTGACTCAAGAATTCCTGAAAGTGCTCAGTGACCTATTTCCATCCTTCTGTCCAGTATTTCATTACTTACTGTATCAGCTTATACATCTCTCTCCAAAACCTTGCAATCAACATTATTTTCCTGACATCCTTATGATCACGTTTTTGAAAACCATTAAACCTGCTGAGTGGCAGATACAGCATTTGCATCCTCCCCTAAAGAGGGCAGGGAAGGGGTACACCCCAAAGGCATATGTAGCTTTTCAAATCCATCACCATCAGTTATACTGCTTGATGAAAGTAAAAGAATGTTTACCTAAAATAGCCCTGAAAAACAAACACTGCCTTCCTAAAAGAATTACAGCTACTGATCAGTAAAAATCCTCCTCAGCTCAGGTTTGCTCCAGAATCTGTCTTTAATCCTCAGGCACCTAATGCAGAGCTGACCCTCAGTAAGTTCACACACAGTCAATTGGTTTCCTCTTCTTACAGGTTTTCACAGACACCCAGAACTACCCACTTTGCAATTTGTGGGGTTACTTTAACCCTGACAGCCTGTATTATGTGCCCCATAAGAGTTTGGCTTCCTCTCCTACTAAGAAATCAAAGGACATGACAGAATCAGAAGATGGGTAACACTTCTTTCTCATCCACCCCTATTAAAGATTCCTTGGTATCACACAGAGAATACAAAACAGATTTGACATAATTACCATGTATGTGGTTTCGAGATTTTATTTATTTTTAATCTACTTACTTTCATAAGAAGTTGGCAAAACTTTATAAAATGCATAGTTGTTTCAGTAATAGGACAGACAAGCTCTCTTCATGCCAAGAGTCTAAATACATAACCTAAACAAACAAGCAAGGTGCAAATGGGGAGCAAAATGTCTAGACTGAATGACACCCACCCACCTGTCATCTTTAGCGCTTTTCAGCACAAATCATGCAGTCACAGAAGGATGGCTTTTATGATCTGCTCCAACGAACCTACTTTTTGATACCTTTAAATTTAAGAGGCCTTCGAAAGTGAGGCAACCATGGAGCAGTTTTGAGTATTTTAGTGCTTGAGTAAGGAAAAAGTGAACTAGATACTAACACCATCTAGTGGCACCTTGCAAGGCTAAATGTGACTAACACAGACTTTTGGCTTACTGAACTTGAAAAACAG